ATAATAATGTATAGAACGTTATAACATGGCTTAGTAGTTCTCTGAACAGTAGGTCTAAAAGGTAGTACATATAAGGTCGTGAGCCGTAAAGTTATCGACAATGAAAAACTATGTGTGTTAGACTCACACATAGTTTTTGAAAGTCGATAACCGGTAGGAGGTAAGCTCGGTATTAATCGTGTTAGATTTATATATACCCATCGAAATTGCAAATGTTATCTCTAACTACTCCATAACTACTCCATTACTAGTATTATTATTATTATAGTGTTGTTAACGCTATTGAAAATTCCAATATTAATATATTGTACACATGAAAAATAATAACCGATCAAGTGTGGTATCGATGTCGCATACCGGGTTCTGAACAAATAAAATATTTCTATAGTAATACGATATAGCTATTAAGCCATAAACATGATTATTGTTACGTGTACTGTTCCTGAGCAACACGCAAATTTTTTGCTCATTCTTCTAGTGATGCGTCTGCATTCCGAATTAGTGGTAGAATAAAAAAAATGTGACTATTCAAAGGTGCTTATATTAAGTTTATTTGAATGAAAATATTTCTATTCTCTAGATTTAGCCAAAACTGCCTGTAAAATGTATATTTTATGATTACTCAAAATGTATTCATTAGAAAGGTTTTCTTTGATGTAACTAGACTGGCAAGATATAAAATTTTGAATTAATCTAACCTAACATAAGCTAAATAAACTATTTAAGAAATTATGTAGCGACTTAAAAATCTTTTCATTATGATTAGGCGTTATGAAAGTAGCGTTAGTGCGAGAAGTGTAGAGCACAGAGAAGCGTTTTCATTTGTATGGAAATAAAAACAATAAAAAAACGGAATATAGGGGCAGTAAAAGTAAAAAAAATAGGGATAATCCAATGATTATTAGACGAAAAATACCTACACGTAATCTAAATATCAAATCGATACAAGCAGTGTCATTTCTGAAATATAGCGTTGTGACAAATGTACAAATTCGCACGATAAGGGTTTTGAGCACCTTTCTGCTTGGAACTCTAAAAACTATGTTATTATTTCAATTGCATTTTGTAATGTCACGGTATACGAGCTGGTCGCCGATAATACATATGCGAGTGGGTTCCGTAACGTAGAGGGGTTTCAAACGAGTAATTCCGACTGCACTTGACTGTAATGAAACGGCAGCTATCGTAGAATCTTATCTCTTTTAAGTATGGGATCATAAAAATAATCCTAGATAGGTAGTTATTATAAATGGTATACGAAATATCGACAAAATAGATATAGTATCGAATCCTCTCGTTAAATTAGGTGAGGAAGAGTTTGTGGAAACTGCTAGTTGTCTCACCAAATTTTTATTTTTTATTTTTTTTGTTTTTTCGGACTACTCTAATGCGGTTGGCCGCAGATGGCCTTTACAGGTTCACCGGACGATAGGGGGCGAATGCAGATGGCACTCCAAACCCGCGGAAGGACTTATGGAACAGCTGAAGGCCAACTCACGCCTAACGGATACAACTTTAGTCCGAGGGCACCACTAGGGGTTCGAACCTCGGCTCAGGCCGTCGTAACATCGATTCCCGTTGAATTGGACGGGGGATCGATCGGAGGGGCTCACCTAATTACTAGCCGCACCTATTATAGCATTCTTTATAAACTCTGATTCATAAAGAAAATATAGTAGTAAAATTAATAACATTGTACTAGGTCTTAATAACCCCTTATTATCTTAGATATACTAACTGTCATTATCATCTGATTCTTTGCCTTATTTTAGTCAGAAACTTTACCTAAATAAAATAAAACATAAATTATCAACCACGTTGATAACCTGGTCTACACTGATGTGAAACATTGATTGTGGGCGATAGAATGAGTGGACAGTACTTATAATGTATATAATAATGAAAAAGGGACAATAAATTATGTGCAAATTTAAAAAACTGAAAAACAACATTCAAAATTGACACAAAAATAAAAATATAAATATATGCAAAGAGTTTGCAACATCGATATTGAAATTGTATTATACATTATTTATTTATTCATTTAAACTTTATTGAAATTTTGTACAAGATGCAGACTGAATGCTATTAGCATCTCTACCAGCGAACCTTTGTGTCTCTGCACTCTTAAAACAGTTTAGTACCTATAGCAGAAATTTTATTAATTATATATACATACATACGAGTACAATCGTTTATAGGTTTCATGAGTATGGTTGGAAATTTATTTTTATTTATAATTCTTTATTGCACCAATATTAAAAGCACACAAAAAATAATTAATAATACATTAAAGAAAGAAGAAAGGTAAAGTGCTCTTATCGCTCACGCAATCTCTTCCAAAAAACCTTAGGAAAGAGAGTATTATTTTATTGGATTGAAATTAACATTCAGATTAGAATTTGTTAATTACTCATATTTTTCTGATGAAATCGGTTAATGTTGAATTTAGTTAATAATACATATTATTTGTTAGCATTCAATTATTGACTTTTTATTTAATTATTTTTTTAGATTACGATAACTTGGAATCTGATCATAACAACAGTTACAGTAAGTTACAAAAGTATTTGAAGTAAGTAATAATTAAATTATAGATTCAATATAAAAAGTAAAAAAATAGAATAATCGTTTATAGTATAACATTTGTATTTTCAAATGTTATACTTTTTACAAACTTTTTATTTCCTAATATTAATATTACTTAACTTATTGAGTAATTTCACAATACGGGCTGTTATCGTATTTTGTACGTTTCGAAATATTTGACTGAATCGAAAATGTCCACTATTATTATATTTACTTAAGGTTTATTTTCACACAAAAGAGGCGATGACAACGGATCAATACAGTTTCCTATCCTAATGTTGGCTCCAAATAATAATTGACAAATAATTAATAACATTAATGACGGTTTATTGAAAAGCGTTTACAAATTGATTTCCTTCTCTTCACATCAAAACCCTTTTAATATTTTAGGATCATCCTTATTGGTTTTAGTGCTTTGTCCATTTACTCATTATATGTAAAATACATTGTAGAGTATTTTCTCATCTAAGTCCTTGGTTAGAGAGCATGACTACATTAGAGACCTGGTTATGACACGGATAGATATTTTAGAAAAAAGTGGATTTATTTTTTCTCTCCATGGTCTAGAGGAACAACAGACTGCCTTACTTCCGATGGTGCGGGTTCTATTCCTTGCACAGCACAAACATTTGTATTCATTGTTTGTATCTGGGTGTTTTCTATATATAATATTTACGAAAAAAAATCTGTGTATTTGTATTAGTTGTACAGTACACAACCTTTAGCTAGCCTGGCTTGGGTCTAGATGGCGCTGTGTAAATTGTCCTTGGACTATTATATTAATAATAAATTAGAGATTTATACAACTATCGCACCTGTGTAAAACCGGGGCCCGTCACTAGTAGTACTAGTTTACTACTTAATAATCTCGCTTTAAGCTTTACAGATACAGAAATAAACACTGTTTGTAGCAAAAGGGATACCTAGTTTCAATACAATGCGTCTTTTGAAAACGATAGAATCAAATACAATGGAAATATGTCAAACACTCCGTTTGAAAGTGGTGGATTCAAATATAAATGTACTATGTATGTGATACAAGTGATATATTTGAAATAAACTATGCCATACAAACGCGAATCACGAATACATGACGTTTGTCCAATGCAATTTAGATTGAATGTGGATTGAAATTTGACATATCAAGTTTTAAAGACGTATATCCATGTTGAACCAGAACAAACTGTATCTAGACTATAAAAACGATAGTATTTTGACTGTCTGTTTGTTTGTTATATTTTGATAATTAAAGTACTGAATGTGTTTTGTAGAAACATGAAGTGGAGATAGATAGGATCACGAATTTGTAAGTAAACTTTTATCAACGCGTAGACTAGGTTTATTCTTAACTAGCAGGTACCCGCGACTCGTCCGCGTGGAATTTAACTTTATTTTTCTAAAATAAAAGTAGCCTAAGTAATTCCTTATTACATCAGCTACCTGCCAATAAAAGTCCCGTCAAAATTTGTCCAGCCATTTTAGAGATTAGCCGGAACAAAATTATTTTGGTGTACGTACCGTATTACACGCATATATTTTATACTACACGCATATGAATATAATCATATGCGTGTAGTATAAAACGATTATTTAAATATTACAAACAGACACTCCAATTTTATTTATATGTATAGAGTATAGAAAAATGTACATTGAAGCAAAATCAAAAATCTGAACGGGTTATTTTTATAGTGGTAGATAAAAAACAAATTGTTATGACTATTCAAAAGTGCTTAAATTAAGTTTATTTGAATAAATGATTTTCTATTCTATTCTATTCTATTCTATTGCTATTAGCACTATAATCGCAGTGCATCCAACTAAAACGGCCGATGAGAGACGGGAATTTTTAGTTTAGGCCTATCTACTAGGGCTATAAATTTATATACTCGGAAATCAGTTGGGTTGGTTAGGCCCTCATATTAGTGTCTAGTCAGTCTCACTGGAGTCTAGAGATCGACCCAATATACGCGACCTGGTTGCAATATTAGTCGTTATTGCTATGAGATAAACTGCAGTTGGTTGGCAAAGTAGATGTACGTGAAGAGCCCCCGTCTCAATCGACCTAATCTATTTGGTTACAAACAGCGTGACCCAAGTTACTTGGCATTTAGATTGGGGCCTATATCTTCTGTTGTAGTCATTGCTCTGAAAATTGTACAATATTGAAAGCGAAAGAAAACAGTAAATATTGTATGACAATTAGAATTATGGCTTAAGGATAGAATGGACAAATAGTGTAACATTCTATTGCAAGCAAAGCCTTTACGCGTGAAGGGTGATACTTGCTTTGCGTGGTGGTTAGTGGTGGTCGTTGAAGATGGGGTGTGATATATTATATATAAAAATGCCTTTTGATTAATAATTTGCTAAAGGCTCAGAATTTGGTTAAAATATTTTATCAATTGTAGAGCCAACACTTCCACGCGCATGAGAGGTACTCACCACCGTCCGCCCTGCTCATTCTCTATTAATACCAGGTCTGCAGGGCGCGCCGCCTATAGGCCAGTTTTCCTAATTCGGCCTTAATTTTCTCCTATGATTTACCTTGAATAACCCCGAAAAGCCATTAAAAAACGTTCCCAGCTTATTCCGCAACCGCGTACTCCCCACTTTCATTTAACTCATATTTTCTGTAATCGAGCCACAAAACCCTACCCGTGCTTTAATATTTCCTTAGCTTATTATTTTTCCATTCTGAGGCTGAAACAATTTTCTTCGCGCCGACCTCCTAAATTGTAATTTTAAAGTTTTCGACGTACATTTTCAATGTGAATTATTCAATTGTATGGAAATATGGACGTCAAAAGGCATGACAAGGTGCCCCTGTGACAACTGAAGGGTAAACTGGGATCGTTGAATTGTAAATTTCATGAAAATTTTATGTGATGAAAGATGGCGAGGCGCGTACCCCTCTGGTCCCGGCCGCGCGCTGCGTACAGCGTATGGTAAGGGAGATGATGATCAGCGAGTGTGTTGGTTGCTTCAGGAGGCTGCCCCGCTGCCCGCTGACGGCGCGGCGGCCGCTACAGCAGCGAACCGCACCGCATCGCCGCCGCTGTGGGCCGGCCCACGCGCGTCGCGCATGCGCGAAGCAACAGATTGGCGGGGAACGCTCGGCTTCAGAGCCGGCCGCCCGCCGTCCTCTCGGACAATTCGCGCACCAACCAGCCACCGCGACGGACGTGTACCACGTCTACTCAAAGTTAAAGTGACGAGATCGCGCGCGAATTGTAGGACTAAGGTAAGTCTTCCTTAGCTCGACTTATCACTTCAACAGCAGTTGCAGATATTAAAAAAAAAATATAATACATACTTTTTTGTATTATTAGAATAGAGTCTTATATTTATGTTACAATTTTCAGCTTCAAAACTTCTGAAAAGAATCGACGACGTCGCTGTGTTTTGAGCAATTTTCACGGTTAATTTAACACAAAAAAAAACGCAAGATCTGTTTTCGTTACGCCGTAAATTTTTAAATATTCAATTGCTTCTATATTTGTTGGTGTATGTTTGTGTCGCGATATTTAATACGTTTGTTCGGCAAATTTTCCGCACGGAGCCGGCGAGTGCCGTTTGCGCCGGATCGCGTTGTGTATTAGATTTTAGATACGATTTTACTATCTCACAAAATGTTCTTTAATTTCCTCATTTTTGAAGTTATCTCTTCCATTTTATTTTACGTATTAGTGACGGCATAAATGGTATTTGGAGTAGACAGTATTTCTGTGCGTGACAAATATATCGTTCTTTTTGTATGAGTGATATTTCTTTTGATAATTTAAATGGTACAATTTTTTATATCGATATCAAAATTGAGAGCGCAATATGTTTTGACATAACTTAATTCCCATTTAATGGGTTCGTTCAATCCTGACAATCTGTTCTCAATATCAGCTTCAACGGCTGCTTTACAAAGAATCGCGTACCAATTATTTGCTCTCATTTTATTGTTACACTTACGAATTATTCTGTTTGCTGAAGAAAAAAATAACAAATTTTCTTGAGAGCAGGAGTCAAGATATTTATATTTTTGAGTATGTTTGCGGGAAATCTGCCTTTCAACAACAGTGTAGAATCCGAAAATACAAAAATTAAGGCTAATTATTTTTTATTGTATTATGTTATAAAATAAATTTCTAAAAGTACACAAAAAGACTAAAAATCCTAAACACAAATAAAAAATATAAAAGTGTGGGAAATAAAAATGTTGTTTTGGTGATTATATGTGTTATATTTTTATTTAGATTTTTTAAAACTTTGTTCGTCATTTAATTCGATATACGTGAGTTGCAGAAACATTATATATTAATATAAAATAGTCGCTGTCCGCGTCCGTCCGCCGCTCCGTTTACTACAAGCGTACGCAACGGATTTGGATGCGGATTTCAGTGTTAATATGATATTTTTGCGGCCGATTGATATTAACAAGCATCTTTATATTTTATATATATAATACCATATTTGACACGGATGAGGTAACTTACTATAAATGAATAAAAAAATTAATCCTTTGTGTCACCAAAATTTTGTTTGTCTTAATAACAATATATTACAAAAGACACAAAAATATTTGCGAAATAGATATTTTATTAAGAAATGTATATTTATTATCGAAGTAACATTTTTCTTTTAGGCAGAGTTATTAATTATTATGTTGTGACTATTTCGTCCGTTAAAAGCCAGTCAGCAGTTATTTCTTCACCATTATAAGACTATTTCTTCACTTTCAAGCCAATTGGCTTTTCTTTTCTTCTCCAAAAAATATCTACGATTCTTTGTTTCACCAAATATTAACCATACCGTCTACCATTACTGTAACCATTGTTGTTCATATTGATTAAAACAAACTTCTTGAACTTTTATTACAAAAGGATTAAGCGCAAAGTAAATAATTCCCAATTTTTTCTCAATCAATTAACGTAAAAAGTACCTACCAGAAAGTGGTTGTTTTTATATTTTTTTTTATATTCATATTTTCAAGCAAAAACAAGAAACAACTGTTCTTGTTTTTTCAAAATATGTATGATTTGGGAGTACGGGCTTTGTTTCAAAAAAATTTACCATTAGAATAGTTTTCTTGATATAAATTAAAGTTACGGAAATAATGTCAAAGTCCCAAGTGATATCAGTGTTGTCCAGACTAGAAAATGGGAAAAATAATATTATTTCTATATTTGAGTTATTCGTATTTCATTTGTATTCCAAATTATTGATACGGCCTTTTGTTTTACCAAAATGCGGTATTTTAGTACTTATATTTATGTTATTAAAATACAATAAATTAAATAATTTCTAAGTGTAGTGTTATGATTTTATTTCTATAAAATTTTTCAAAATAAGTATTTATGCGACCCTTTTTATGCTAGTAATACTAATTCCGAACGAGGCTTGGAAATGGAGAAAATAATAATATTTTCCCCATTTTCGAGTAATTCGTATTTCGTTTCTTCTCCAAATGATTGATACGGTCCTTTGTTTCAGCACGGTGTTCCATTACGGCACCTTTGTTCTTGACGTTTGAATTCGTTTGATTTTCAACGTGTTTTCCATTTTTGTGGCACCTGACATTATTAACAATGAATTGTCATCATATTTTTATATTCAACTATATTTTATATTTTAGTAATTTCCTTGCCCCGAGTTTTCACGGATAAATTATAGTTAATCATTCTGTAGGTGATATTTATGAAGTGGTTAAAGATAAATAATCTATAGTACATTTTATGTTATCAGTTTCGATATTATTTCAATTCAATACTAGATTCAGGTTTGTCACTCTTTAGGAATAGATAATATGTATTAACTAAACGGATAAAATCTCTGAGTTAAATAAATATTTGTATATAAACATTTAAACCCTGAAAAAAAAAAACAGTTGTGGGTAAGGACCAAGATGACGTCAATAAGAAAAACGGGTCCATTAGTTCAGGAGCTATAATGTCACAGACAGATATAGAGATACGCTATACTTATAACACGTCTTTTTTTGTCGTACGGTTAGAATATGAAAAACAAAAAAAATGTACCCGTATATATAATATACTTTTATCTCCAAAATTATCTATTCATTGTGATGTTATCCGCAATATCCCGTTTTCACAAGATTTTCCTAAACCCTTATTATTTAGGCATCCGCTATGAAAGAATACGCTATTTAAAAGTTTAAGCCCTTTAAAATTTGTCTTTCTCAACTCCAGTTAATTTGACAATTAGTCAGTTAGAGCAATTTGTTTTTTTATGACTGATTATGAATAATCAGTCGTAAAAAAACGAATTACGAACGTACCAAATGAACGAAAATTATTTTATGAATGGTACAGAAGTTTTCATTGATGTACCTTTATTATTATTACCTTTATTCTGATGTATATTCATCTAACATTTATTAAAAATATAATACATCACGCAAGTTTCTTGCTCAATCTTCTTGTGATGAGTCTTATTTCCGAATTAACGGTAGAGTCAAAAGAATATTATATATCTATTCAAAGGTGCTTATATTAACTACATTAAAATACTTTCTAAATATCAAATGAGTAAATTACGGGCCTGTTGACAAAACCGATTAGAGTTTTGGAAGAACAATGATTGAACATTGAAAAGAAAAGAAATAAAAAAATATAATAATAAGTATTATTTCTTTTCTATTCTATGATTGTAAAGTAAAAAGTAAAGTAAAAGTCACTGCAGTAGCTAATGGCTAAAATACATGAGTCAGATGTGACTTTGCACGAAGTATACCATGATGACATGGATATACTCGTATAACAAACTCTGCTGTAGGGGTATCACCCAATCTATCGCATGGTCACGGCACGGTAAGCGGATTGTTTAGGTCTTAGGCAAATCACTGTAATCCTTTAACTGTAGACGTGCAGCCTAGGATAGACTTTAAGTCTACTATTTTTGCAATACTACTACTCTTACAGAGGCATAAATGTTCTAATTCTCTGGTATGGCGATAAAAAAACGGTACTCCTAGTACAGTTTTTTGGGTAACTAAAATTGTTATATTGGCAACTCTTTATTGGAGTAGTCAGACTCAACAGTTTACATCAACGGTGACTGAATTAGAATTAAAAATATAAAATTCATTATCATCATTTATCAACATTTTCAGTATTATTCAGATTTGACCCGATTTGGGTCAATGATGGATTGTAAATTCCAAGCTGATCCTCGCAACTGCTTCTGCGTCATTTATCCCACTTTTTGAAATATTTTTGAATGTAGGACCTCTTCTACTAGTCATAACGTAATATAGTATCCTATATAGAGCCTTTGTCGATGTATAGGAACACAACAACACTGAAATATTTTTTTAAATCGGATCCGTAATACAGAATATTATTCAGATCATACAAACTACCTCTATACAATATTAATATAGATAGTGGTTTTGTGGCCTCATTCAGCCAGTGAAATGCTGTATTAATAAATATGTCACGAAAAGATGTGTGAAATGAATATAAATTAATTTTATTTTTCAAAACTAAACCATATCGTATGTTTTGTAGGAAAGTTTTGAACTCACCGCAAAAACCGCCGCATCGTATCATGAATTCATAACCGAACCGCACGCGTGGCTGTGTACAGCGAGAATTTTCATTATTTTGATCAGGAATAATTATAATGATATAAAATATGTTCTTTATTAAGTGTATATGTTTTGGTGGTGTAGCTGTATCATATTACGTCATCTTCCACTTGGTGGGGGTTCTGAAATAGCAAGAGAAATAATTTTTATTCAAATAAACTCAATACAAGCACTTTTGAATAGTCATATTTTTGATTCTATCACTCATTCGGAATGCAGATTCATTACAAGAAGAATGAGCACGAAACTTGTGTGTTGCTCTTTTGACTAAATGTTTTTTTATATATAAATAATTGTACAATAACAAGTAATATGTATGCGATAATCAACATTGAAATCATTACGCACTCATTCTTAGTGCAATCAGATAATATTGTCAGCGATTAGAATTTTAAGTTTTTATTTCTACAAAAACATTATTATGTTCGATTTATGAATCTTAAAGAAATCTTTTGCTCTGATAAATCTGATTATTTTCAATATAGGTATATTAGACATGTATTAAGAGAACTTATACATAACTAAAGTGATATATTAAATTAAAACAAATAACCTAAAACTAAAAACTTAAAATAATGTAATAACTAAAATATAGAGAACTAATAGAGTGAAAGTTGAAGCTCGTGGTTATCAAAACTGGCCGAAACGAAAATAAAAGCAGTCACCATCTTCCCGGTGATGGAAAACTCTAATAACAAACCAAAGTGGTAGAAGCTTCTCTCCGTGCTACTTGAAATTCATATATTCTTGGTGACACGAAAGCAAGTGTTCAGCAGAACG